ATCGCCATTTTAATAGCCTCGTGTTCTCGCTTTTTTTTTTTTTTTCTTTTCATCAAATCGACGCTTTCAAGGCAAGGCGCGAGGGATTGCTTCCCTCTCTGCGTTCGCTGCGAGAACACTGTTATTCCGACCATTGCATATTCCACTCACAGGTGTTATTGCTTCTTCGGTTTCGCCCGAACGTTTCCGACGAAGTGATTTTATTTTACCGGCCACGCCAGCGTTTAACCTGTTTTTTTTAATCTGTTTCGTTGAGCTTTTATATGTTATTCTCGTTATACGCGCGCGCGCGTATGCACGCAGATATATTGCAACGTAATAAAACTCGGGTATGCCGGTCGTAAGTTGTGTCTCTTTGTTTTCCGTTTCTTTTTTTCTTCTTTCTCTTTTTTTAATTTTGTTCAGCTATATATACATGTGTGCGACGCGCCACTTCTTGCATGCCGAGCGCAAGTAGACAGGCAGGCAGGCAGGCAGGCGGCCTGTGTAATGAATTTTCACGCACGTGAGTAGCCCACGCAACGTCGGCTTTATGCGTCTCAAAGGAATTCCTTCGAAACTCTAAAATTGCATTAGCGATACACGCGTTAAGCGGCGTTTAATTACGCGCTCTCCGGCTGTGTTGCTTGCGAAGTATCTGTTGCAAACGCGGCGCGCCACGAGCTAATAAAAATGCAGGGCCACCGTGGGATTTAAATTAATTAGTTGAGCGAAACAGCCGGAAGCACGCCCGACGGAATATTACGCGGTGGAAGATCCAGCGAGCTCCGCGGCTCGCGTCTATGAATTCTTCTTCCGACACGTTAAAGTTGACTTCTCCTTAATGAAAATGTCAAGGGGGATCGCCGTGTGCCGCTCGATTTCTCGACCCGCTACGCTTTAAGTCTCTTTGTGATTAATCCTCGAATTATAAACCCATCGCGACGAATGGAATTGGATTGCACCTAAAGCGTCGAGCGGAGACTGACGTCATCCCTGTTTTTCTACTTGATTACATTTCTGAACTTTCATCTCGCGCAAGCGTTTCACTTCCAGTCGATTGTAATCCTCGAGAGCTATCGACTGCTCTATGCCGAGGAAGTACCGACTGCGAATCTGCCGGAGACTCGGCACTTTGGCGAATCGATGATGCGATTCGGTGGATGCCTTTAATTACGAAAATTAATTATCACTTCCCGCGGAACTGCGGGTATGAAGAACGCCGAAAGCGCGCCGATCAGCAATTGCAAGAGAATTACGCGCTTCTGATATCGGTGGAAATCGCAGCCCCGTGCAATCACATTGCTTTGCGCTTCCAATATTTTGTTGTTGCAAAATTATTGAATGCTAATCGGACCCTTCGCACCCCTTCATACTTCATCGTGACCTCGACAGGGGCAGCACGTGAAAGAACGGACCGTTGGATAAACGCCGCGCTGGTTCTCGGTCGAGACCGTCTGGCGTTTATCTTGGAGGTTGCCTTGTACAGATGGAAGCACCTATTCCGTCAAAAGCGCGATTCCCGCGCGAATGTATATCCGTGATAATCCGATTAAATTGTGATGCATTACGCGAGATGCGTCTTGCGTTCGAGGATAAAAGTAGTTCACTTCGAAGATCGGAGATCTGTGCGCAGTCTCCAAGTTGAAAAGGTAAAGTTCAGACGAACCGTTCTCCCTGCTGGGGTTTCGGATAAATTATCTCGAATGGCAGGAAACAGGCTATTGTCTCCATCGATGATATTGTCTAAGCTTCTCGCTGGCGCATTTTTCTCACGACTGCGTTGCGTTCTTGCGAGAACTTCGAAAGGCAAAGTCATCAGGCGCTTTGATAGATGGCGGCCGCGGCAAGAAACGTATTTACATTTACGACGCAGCCTGAGTAAATAACAGCGAAGTGCACTTTTCATGCGCTGTATCCTTAGGTAATTTAAACATCACCGCGGCGGATGAATGATAGGCAGCAGTGACCTTTAACGTCGGCGATTTTTACGATCATTCCTCTCTGCGCGAGGAATAAGAGAGAGCCCCTGACGCGGTAAGAAATAGGCGAGAGAACCTACTCAAGTTCAGGCTGAAATAAATCAAAAAGATTGGGAGATACGAGAGTAGCCGGAGAGTAACTTGTAACGAGACTCACGTCGTCGCCGGTACCCCATAATTACTGGCGCCGATGAGAACAAAAAGGGAAAAGGGGGAAAGAAAAAAGAGAGGGTAAAAAAACCGAGCGAACAGCCGCCGCGCAGCCACCTTTTAAAAAGGTGTTAAAGCGTGCCTTGTGCCCGCGCGCGCGCGCGCGCGCGCGGAGTAGGTGTTAATTTAAAACAAACCGAAGGATAGCCGCGCGATTTGAAATCTGGCCGCCGTGTACTCTCCGCTCGTCCCGAAATTCGACCTGCCGATCGCCGCCTCAGTGGCGTATCGAGAGGATTTTCGATAATCGCGCCTTCCAGGCGAAATCCAGGCGCCGAAAAGGGAGGACCGGACCTAATTCCTTTGAATTACGCGACGCGGCTCTTATTCAAGTTCCACAATTTCAATCTCGTTCTTGACCTATTGACCGAGTGTGACGATTTATATTTATGAATTTATTCAGTCCTTCTCCCGCGATGAGCGGGGGCAGACTGCGAGGCGAACGGCACGAAACGATTTCGACGACGGACGGAAGGACGATCAGAAGATCATCGGCGAGAAAAGAGGAGACGCAAATGCGCGCGACATGCGGCCGCACCTCAACACTGCACTCGTGCGCGCGGAGAAAATTCGCCGGGCGAAATTTCGAATGCGTTCGCTCGCAACCGGCAATCCCAAAACACGCCACTGCGCGACGGCGGATTTTCGTACGTGTAACGTGTAATCAGTACGGCGTTTCGGAGCAATTTTTTTTACGCCCGCCCTCGGGCAGCGACCACCTTCCCTTCGCACCTTCCCATTTTTTTCTCGTCACTCAGAGATGATTTTACGACTCGCGTCCACAAGGCGATGGGCAACGCCCTCGAGAGATTCTAACGTGAGCCGATCAACCACACGCTGCCAGGGTGGCGCGAGTTATATCGCTTTCACCGCCGTCGGATCGAACTCATTCGCGCATCGCGAGGCGGAAGTTAATTGTTGCGCCAGGTGCCGTCGATGTAGTCGTCGGCTAAAATCCGTCCGCTGCCACGTTCGCTTCCACGGATCGCTTTCGGACACTTCCAGTATCTTCGGTGCTTGGTGTTTGAATCGCTAAGAATGCAGGAGAAGCGGTAATGCTTCGAGCACATCTCTCTCTTAGACATGCCGTTTTTCAAAGCTTCACCGACAAAGTACCGGCTTCTTTCGCAAAACCTTACCGTGATGTTGCACGGAATGACGAAGGCCCCTTCGCACGACAAATATAACATAATAATATATTAAGAAATGCGTGTACAAAAATGCGAAAAGAACAGCGTAATCATCTGACGAGACATTTTGACGCTCGCCTCCATATTTACTTGACACTTTTGGACTTTGTCATCCACCATGTTGCACGGCATACTTCGCGTCGCCGTTGAATTGACGCGCGCGCGCAGGACGTGCGTCTATTTAAGCTGACGCTGAGAAAGGGAACAAAAGAAGGAATAAAGGTGTGTCCGAATCCGAAATGTGCCCTGACGGCGTCGACTCGTAAACTCGTCCGGGAGACGCGACTCCAACCCCGGGAGTTAAAACGCGCTCCTCGTCAGCGCCTTGTCGTAAGGAGACGCGCGCGCGCGCGCGCGGCAATCTTTCACGCGATACCCTTTCCGAAAAACAAGACGGACGCGGCGGACACTTTCCAGGCGAGGCCTCGAGCCGGCCGTCTCTCGTTCATTACAGATTCGATCGATCTTCCCAGCCATAATGCACGCGGGGTCCAAGCGTTAACGAGACAGCGCTCCGGAGCCATTAAGATTCCGCCTTATCACGATCGGGAGGCAGCACGCGAAAAGGCTCGTTTTCCAAATTGAAAACGCGCCGATATCGCCGGCCGATCGAGCAGCCGCCGATCTGCTCTCTCGCCCTAATCGCCAGTTAGCGAGCGGCCGCGCGATCTACGATCTATCGATCCCCCGGAATTAGCATTCGAGGCGTGAATCTCGTACGCGGATCTCCCGACAGCCGCAGAGCCATGTAAATTTTAGACTTGCGCGAGAGCGCGCGACCTCCCCTGGGAGAATAGATCGCGCGCAACAGGCTCACCCTTGAAATGTCGCTGGATATGCGTTTTATTCTGCTCTAAACTGGCTCGCGCTCATTGTCCTCAGAGTCTCTCTCTCTCTCTCTCTCTCTCTCTCTCTCTCTCTCTCTCAGTGACTCGAAACTTCGTTTCTTTTCCCTCCGACGCTAAAAGCGCTGTAAAAGGGCGCAAGCCAGCTCGGCCAATGAGGGCACACCACCACGTGCGGCGTACGTCGAAGAGAAAAGGAACAAAGCACCTTCGGTGCTACGTTAATTTACGGTGTAGCGTCGCGCGATGCAACGACTCGATCGCGTCAGCGATCGGACGTGTGCCGAGTGCAAGAAGAAGCCGGCGAATATTATAGACGAAACACGTAGGAGCGCGAATCGCGCCGAATCCTCTCGAAGAGGGGAGCTTCGAGGCCCTCTCCAGTCGTCCTTCCAGCGGCCCCACCAAGACGGACGGAGCGCGTGGCCATATTTTACGGGCGGGGGCGTAAAACGGATAATTTTCGGAGGAGGGAAGAAGGAGCGATATCGGATCGTATATCAGGCCGCGGGACCGGCCGGGTCGCCTTCAAATTATCGGAAACGAGGGCCAAAACTAATGGGCCGCGTTGGGCCATCTGGCTCCTGCGGGGCTTGCTGATTCACGCCAATTCGATCGCCATTTTCGCGCCGCACGAGTCGAAACTAGCCGTTTCTCGCCGCGTCGGGCACGGTTTAACGTCCGAGATTCACTCTGCGTCCTCGAAAACGATCTCAGGTTGGGACGCACGGAGGAGCGGCAGGGAGGAGGAGGAGGAGGAGGAGGAGGAGGAGGATGTGATCGAACGCTTTCGGTTATCGCCTTTATTCGGTTCGCTGATAATTACATCCTGAATCACGGAGATCGACGCGCCATCCGGACGCGTCGGTCCTACCAGATTTGATTGCCGCCGAAACCCCACGGCATATTATCGCATATCGTCCCGGCGATCGCCTCCTGGACCGACGTGGTCAGTATCCTGAAGTTCACATCCGTGTAATTGAGAGTCGACAGGAGAAATATCGGCATCCGATCTGTCATGATCCAGAGTAAGCCGCGGTTCACCTATACATAAACAATGAAGCGGCAAAGTATGAATTTAACGAGGATTAAGCTGAATTCTCATTATCCTTCTCGGACGGCTCAAATTTCTTTTCTTTTTTTCTCTTGTTAATCGGAATGATTGAGTCTATTCCGATGTAAAAGCGTTAAAGAATATCTTGCCGGAGGATCGGTGGACTCCTGGATCTGCTGGACAGACAGTGAGAATTCAGCCTTATGTGTGAGAAATACTCATACTTTGATGTCGGCTGGAAATATCATGGCTCGGTCGTGTCGTGCGACAATCGCATGATTGGCCGGCGAGTAAGGCAGGGCAGAGTTCCAACAGCCGACTGCATTCTGATCGATCAAGTTGAAGAACTGGAGTCCGCTCGCGTCCATCACAGACGCCGTGCAATGAGAGAGTGGTCCTCTCGACGCCAGTACCTTGGAAAAGAGAGCACTTAGCGCTTGGTTTTATCGTCGACTCCGGGGAGCCGAAAATTTATTATGAAAATATCACTCATTTAAATCAACTATCAAGTTGCGCCGTCGCCTTGCCAAAGTCAACTAATGCCATCTATTTACGCGAAATCGAAGAAAAGAAGCGCTCCTGTATTAAGATTAATCGATGTTAATTGAAGACATTTAAGATGTCCATTAACACACATTATCAATAAATATTAATATTTAAAATATCAGTTGATACTTTATTATTTAGAATATCGACCAGAGTCTTTCTGATATCTCTTTCTATAAATAAAAGCAGATGAAAAAGCTTCGCTTAAGGATCTCTTACGTCGAGCGAGCGTACCTGAAATTCGTGGTAACTGTTTCGCGACAATTGTTCGTCCCTCAGGATCCTCGTAGAAACTGCGAACTCGCGATAGCTGCTGAGAGGATGAAAGAAAAGAGTTCTATAACCGTTTTCTGATATCGGCGACAGACTCATGCCGAAAATGCCCTCTTCGCCCCATTGGAAGTTCAACCCTCCGATGTTATAGTCGCCAGCCAAGGGGTCCGGCATGAAGTAACTGTGAGTAACACGCCAGGATGTGTTCCGCTGCCACGAATACACGACCAGACCGTAGCCGAGCTCGTCGGACACGTAAGCGAACGCGTCGTCGCAACCGCCTTTGCCCAGATCGACCGCGATGTTGGCGATAAAGGTGTTCTGCGTGAAGAAAAGAACAAGAACCGAGAGGAACTAATAGAGTCCTAATCGAGCAAACAACGAACAAAGAGACAAAGGAGGACGTCAGGGAGAACAAAGAGACAGCCGTGTACCTGATTGATATCCTGCGGTCTGAGTCGGTATTGCCTCAGGATCTTATCCGTGGTCAAGTCGAATACGTTCAAGGTGTAGGGACAGGCTTGTACGGTCGTTTCGCCGATTCCTATCGTGCCCGTGTCCAACACCCATAATCTGTCGCACGCGTCCGCGTGAATCCTGGAAGGGGATCATCGTATTCGCGCGGAACGTCTCGAGAAAGTTTCAAGTTTCTTACGTGGATTACGCGTAGCTTAAGGTATTCCTGCGACATATCGATTCGCGGGAGAATCGCGGGAGCATGCTTATCGGTCACCTGTAAACGGTGGTTAATCCGCTGCCGCAAACACCGGCCCTGTTCTGCCTCCAGTTCGGGTAAGGCGTAAGTTTGGGCGACCCGGTTTGATTAGTGTCCAATGATATGTAGTTCAACGTGGCCGGTATTCCTGCAGTTACATGGAATGTCACTTCAAACTTCCCCGCTCCGTCATTCCACCAGCGACTTTCTCTGCTTATTTGCAATTCGAGATTATATTCGCACCCGAGATATTAAAATTCTGCGAAACTTCGTCGGATTTCGTTCGTCGACAATTTCGTCGTCTCGAAAGGTGAGTCTCACTTTGCAGATGGATTTGGAAACTCAGACAATTGTCTGAAATGTAACTATTGTAAACGTTTTGCTGTTATTCGGTAAAAAAATATCGCTGAGCGAAATCACGAAATAATAACAAAAAATATATTTTTAGTATAACAACGCAAACGGGAAATACAAAATATATTTAATCTTCCTCGCATATTCTTGCAAATGAAATAAATAAGATTTGTTTCCATTCCATCATTAAAAAGCCCAATGAACTTTCGCAAATTCCCGGTGTGAAAAATATCTAATAAAGAGTGTGAGACGCGCGAACACACGCTGCATTATATCGCAGAGCATCGATATGCAGTTTGAAGTTAAATAGTGTAAAGAAGGAAGAGAGGAAAGGGGCATTACAGAGAGGTCGCGAAGGTCTCCGAAGGAAGTGAAGGAGAAGTACGGAAGGGTACTACATTAAGGACCTTACACAGCGTGCCGCCGTCATTGTCCGGCCTTTGTGGCGCACAAAGCGGTGGCGCGCGCCAACGTATATAATAAACATAGAGCGTGCAAAAAAAATCGGATGAATAAAGGGCAGCGGGAGTCTGAATGAAAAGCCCGGTTCGTCCCTGTGTTTCCCTTTCTGGCGAGAGCAGGGGGCGAAGGCCTCTGCGGGCCCTGTTCGGGGGCCCAGGCTCGCGGAGGTGGGGGCGGAGGTCGATAAAGACAGAAACGCTCCTATTGAGAGCGCGCTCGCGGTTTTCGGCGCTTTTTGTCGCGGGCCGGAAGTCGCCCAGACGAGGAGTGTACCTCCTACGGCGATCTTCCGCGTATTATGCCGGCGTCTGCTTCCGGTTCCTGACTTTGAAGTGTCGCGTCTCATTTCTGCGGCCGCGCAACCCGCTTGTCCGTCGCGTCGCGTAGGTGTTAATTGAGAGAGAGAGAGAGAGGGAGAGAGGGAGAGAGAGAGAGAGAGAGAGAGAGAGAGAGAGAGGAAGGAAGAGAGGGAGATAGAGAAGGAGAAGTTTCAGGAGCTTCGGATAATGACACGATATTTCCGGTATCTCCTCACCATCTCGCCATCTCGGTACTGTGACGAAGAGCTTGTTCTTCCAGATCTCGATGCCGACAGGCAGAGAATTTTCCGGCACATATTCGCCATTCGCGATCGCCAATTGCCTGCTACGTTCATTCGGATAAGCGAAATCCAGCTCTTTCCAGGCGAATCTCTCCAAGAGCGGAGCGCGTCCAAACTTCAAGTTCCCTGGTCGAATCCCGTCGACGTTTCCGGCCCGGGAAAGCAATAGAATCCAAAGTACGGCATAACTCCAGGCACAATAAATTTTCATGATTCCACTCGATCTCTGTGTGCAGAAAAATATGTTTTTGTCCGGTGTTAAACGCATCATTGTATTGTACTTGTAATATGTAAAATTGTACTGTATTTGTACATCATTGTATTGTACTTGTAAATTGTAAAACTTGTCATAAAAATAACACTCTCACTCTCACGAAGTGATAATAATTTTTCTTTTCTCTTCTTTTTTTTTTTTGTATTTAGAGAAAGAGCGACGTAACATAGATAAATTCGTCACGTCGTAATATTACCCGTGCACAAGCAGCGTGGGTATTTCGCGTACGTGCGCTGATTAAATTTAATTACTGGAGTGCACGCGAGCAGTCAGGCTTTTAATATGCACGCATGCATCCTCTTATCGCGTTTTGCTTTTTCTTCTTTTTTTTTTCCTTATTTACTTATTTCCTTATTTCCTTATTTCCTTGGAGAGCATACGCTCGATTCGGATTTCTTTTTCCATTTCTTTCTCTCTCTTTTCTTTTTTCCTTTTTTTCGTAGATACGTATACGTGCGCGCCTACTGGATCTAGTTAATCTAATTAACGCGATGTAATTAATTAATTAATCTAATTTCCAAATAAATCAAAGAAATGTCAAGCGCACGAAATGACGGCATCAAGTTGCCGATAAATGATTTTTGTTAATTTGATAATTTTGAAATTTCCAAAAGTCACCCGATATATTTATATCATTTAATCTCCCTCGCACACGCACACACCAGCCGCGAAAAATGCGATGCAAGTTAGTCGTTATCATAACGCACACATTGTAACAATTGTAAAAATTCGTAACATATGTAATAATTCCGAAAAAAAGCGCTATGCGCCATCTCTCTCTCTCTCTCTCTCTCTCTCTCTCTCTCTCGCTCGCTCGCTATTATTTCCTTTAATGAGATAAATTTATTTTTCGCAAAATCTCTCTTCTCTCTGATCTATTAAATATACAACAAAATAAAAACATTAAATTCGGATAACTTTCTTTTAATTTATGACATGCAAAAGAGAAAAGGAGAACGAGATCTTTTCTTCACCATCGCAATATTTCAAGAGGTATACATTTTGTTACATTGGACACAAAACGCTTGTTTTGACATTTAATTTAAGCAGAACTCGAAAATAAAAAGCACACTCTTTCGCCATAACCGTTCCGCACTTGTTCGATATTTACTGTAATTGGCCAACAGGATCATGCGGAATCAATCCAGATGTACGATCGCGTCTGATTATACACGTGATTACTCCATGAAAAATCGACGATTTTCGCAGGAAAACACGACAAGAGGAACGAGAGAAGCTGGACTTTTCGTATCTCGGGCTAACGGGAAGCTGACGGCGCTCAGAAAGTCACCGGCGACCCTCCGAGCTAAACTGCGTGTTCCTGTAAAATGTTGTCCGTATATATGCACCCAATCCTCTGTGCGAAATCATACCTCGTACCACGTGAACCCCTCTCATAGAGAGGAATGCACTGCGTGCATTTACATTCACGTCTACTCGAATCGTCAACGAGCACGGACGTTGAACGCAGAGTGGTGCACTTATACGTTTTGACATGCCGACCAATCGATCGATTCTCGCATGCCTGAACACTTCACCATCGGGCTCATCGAGCTAAACGTTCGCAAGAATTATGACCGATTTTAGCACCGAAATGAAAGAACGGAAAGATAAATAAAATAAATAACAAAGTGAGAAAAATCTCTGTGACATATATAAATCTTTAGAATAATTGAAACAAATCATTAGAATGAATAATGTGTGCAATGGGAGGGATTTTATACTAATAAGCGTACAAATTAAACGTTAACAACGTGTGCAACGTGTTTTATCAAGTTTCGAATGTTCCGATATCGATTTTTGGGTCATTTACAGCGAAAATAGCTCAACGAATAAATAAAACTGATACAACATATCAGAGTCTTTCTTCTCCTTTTTTTTTCGTTTTTAAGAGAAAGAGTTTTTTTAATCGAAAAAGTCCCATGGCAACATTTCTGATTTGCTACTTGTTTAAAAATTCACCAATGATTCAAGCGATCGATAGAAGAGTTAGAAATTGCCACCGATAAAAACCAAGAGAAACGAGCAACTAACCGCGCGCGCGCATACACAGACGAGGGCAACTCGGTGGCAACGAAGAGTGAAAATCCATCAAAAAAGTTCCCGTAATTGCAATTAGCAGATAATCTCGTGCTCGCATTTCCTCCTATAAACGGCGATAATGAACACCGAGTAGAGATTTCTCTCCATAACTGGCCGCGGGCAACTTCGTTACGCAATTGTTACATTTTCATGAAGTTGATACTGCGATAAAATTCCTCACGCATTTCGAGCAGCGCGTGCTCGGTACACACGTAGCCGCACGCAACACTGACCACTTAAATATAAATCCGCGAGTATTTCGGCAAAATCGCGCGGAACGGCATACGTTAATCCGCGGCGGCGCGCGAGCAAATGCGAGCGCACTTCGTCGAGGTCGTATAACAACCGACCACGCACTCGCGCATACGCACCTTCGTTATTTTGAGCGCGAACCGTAGGCGATTAAATTAAATCCAATGGCGATTTAATTAGATTCATAAATCTCCAGGGGTGCGCGCGCGCACGCGCGCGCGCTCGTCCGGGGGATTTCGGGCGGGCAGCGAACGCGGAAATGCAAACGGACGACCAGGCGTGTGTTCGAAGCGCATTCGGGGGCAGGGAAGTCATTCGTTAGCGGTAACGAGGTGACGACAAAAAGCCGCCGTCTGTCTCACGGATGATCGGTTCCCGAGAATAAATTCCCGGGGTTATCTTCCCGCGAGAACTGACGGCTGAAATTGCGTTCAGTTTTCTGTTCCCTCCCCCTTCACCGTCTCTCTCATCCTGTCGCTCTCCCATTCTCCCTCACTTTGTCTCGTTTGTCTCTCTTCCTTCACCTCTCTCTCTCTCTCTCTCTCTCTCTCTCTCTGTCTTTTTCTTTCCCTCTCTGTCCTGTTCCCCGCACAGTCTCTCGCCTTTCCCTTCCTCCGCAGTCTCGCCGTGTTTCATTAATCAGCGCCCTTCCTGAGAGGCGCAATCGGAATTTGTGGAAATGAGTAATTGTCGGCGGCTGAAAAATATTATTACGGTTTAATCACCGATGACGCGCGACATTAATGGTGGAATCGAGTGTAACGTCCGGTCGAATTAATACGGTGCGTGTCGCGGCGAGGTATGCGGTTAGCCGCGAGCGTTATAGCACAAATCGAATCGTCCCGCGAAAAACATTTTTCAGTCCTCCCTGCCCCCTTGCCTCCTCCTTGCCTCAGTCAATTTACACTGCAACCAGGAAATATCCTATTTGCATGACTCTTCGCGCAATAACGAACTTATTACGACGGTCGCGAGTTGTGATTTGTGGGAATTGAAACAGGCAGGCCGACCGAGCGGCACAAAACCAATTATTTCGCGATAGCAACATTTCTGACTTCCTACTTTCGTCGGAGCCGACGAAAGCGTCGGACGACGCTGTCTTCCGGTCTGTCGTCCCTTCGAGACGCGGGGCATGTATCGACTCTGCATGATACATATTATTTATTCGCAAAACAAGGTAGTCCACCTTGAGCGAAGAGGAGAAGAAGGGGAGAAATTAACGAAGACGAAAGAGAAAAACGTCGTAAAGAAAACAGAGGAAGTGCGCAAATTGAAATTCGAACGAACGATTACATCGATCGGGAATTAAAACCTACGGTGGAGCAATTTAAAGATAATAATTATACGCGTTGGTCGACGCTTCGGGCGTTTCGTCATCGCAAATCGCATAACGAGACGTCACCAGACCAAGACAGGAAAGGACCTGAAAGCCGTTGACAGGCCACGTACCGGTCACGCCTCGCCGATTCTACTACAACTACAATCGCCTTTCGCGATCGCAGTCGAACTGGCGAGCTTGTCAAGCCAGCGATGTCTTTCGTAGATTCGCGAATTTTTCGCCCCCCTCTTCGAAACGAGATCGAAAGCTTCGCCGAATCAAGATCCGCAGAGTTCCGCGCGCGATTCGCGCGCTCTCCCGGCGGTCATGCGATGCTCGTAAATAAACGAAAGTCCCGACGGGACTGTCACGGTCGTCTATCCGCATGTTTGCACAGAATCTGGCTGTTACTTTCATCGGAGCTCCTCGAGATTAACGCACGTGCGCGCGCGCGGAGTGACTTCGTCATTTCCTTGCAATCGTAGCGGCCCCATCAAGGTTACCTAAATTGCTTTCCGGATCGCTCGCCAGCTTTCTAGTTGACATGGTAATTTAAAGGCGGCCACTCGCTTGAATTACCAGCGATCTCCGCGGCTCATCGCCCGCCGCCCATCATTTTCTCATCAGCCGCCTCTCGCCGGTTATTAAAATTTCGAGAACTTGGGCCGATTCCTCCCCGGTGAAAACCAGTCGCGAGCCCGCCGAAAGCCGCGAGCGCGAGACACGAGCGTCTTCTCTCGCGCTTCTCCCGACGAGACGCGAAATCTCTCGGATCTGAGCGCGCGAAAACGCCGATTTCTTCGGAAAAAGATGCTTTATTACCGCTTAATTATCTTACCTCCCCGCCTCCCTACCGCGCCTCCCGCCGAGAAGGAGGGGAGGAGAACGGTGCTGCCGAAAAAGTCGAAAGTGGAGCGGCGGTAATCCGGCCGCTGGTAATGCGGCGCGAAAATATCGCCGGGTATGCCTCACGCTTATGACTTATATCTGCTGATTCGACCGCCCGGCTAATTGCACGATTTGCATTTCGTGGTAGTAATTATCGCGAGCGTATGAGCGAAGCGCGCCGCCGCCGCTGCTGACACTACGGATCATAACGCGTAATTATGAGGTACGTCGTATCCACGTAGCACGGTTTTTCTTCATAACAGTCATCTGCGCGCGCGCGAGCATCGAGAGAGAGAGAGAGAGAGAGAGAGAGAGAGAGAAATACTGCTCACTAGAATTTCATATTTCACTTCTTCGCCCGTCTAAGAGCGCCTAGTATTCCATTTCCCGGCGAGACCCATCTCGCTGAGACACGACGCTTCGACGAGCGGCGATTTGAATAATTATGCTATCGATCACCGCAAATGTCACTCTTTTTTCCTCTCTCGGCGAATTATTCACATTCCCATCGGGTTATAGCAACCCGTTCGTCGTCTATCCCGGAATTTTGTACTGAATCTCTTCACCCATCCATGGATGAACGGGTGATATCCTTTTTTCTATTTTTCTGCCGATCGCTCGTGGATTCGTCGACACGACGGCGCGTATAATTACATCGACTACTGCGCCTCGAACGTAGCAGTTTTTTTTCTTTTTTCTCTCTTGTCTTCGCGAACGCTATTACTCACATTCCCGTTTAACAATTTTCGTCGTCCATACGCGCCGGCCATACACGAAATATGGACGAGCGAGGGACGCTTTATATGCAGCACTCGTTAATTTCATTTGCGTTATGCCCTCGAAAATAAATCTCCGCCCGCGGGGGCCGGTGTTTTACATACGCTCGCTCGTGGACGTATTTGGCGAGCGGTACGTCTGAAAGTCTCAAACCGCAATCTCGTATCGCGATCATTAGTCTCCGGGATCTGATCGTAATGAAATAATTGGTGTACGGTCTCCCTACCCTACGCGAGAGAGCGTTACGCGCGCGGGCCCCAGCTGCAAATTTGAAGGGGATTCGGCGAAATAACCGCGCCAACTGCGCTGCGCAAATAAAACTATAATGACGCGCAGACGACGACGGAGAGTTCGCGCGGTCTTTCGCGCCGGGTCCGATTGCGCAACGACAAATTGGCGAGCCGACGGTCACTTTGACGGTCGACCTCGTTTTTATTTTATCGCGGACGCGATCTCGGATGCGCCGGCGAGAGACGAAGTGTTCGATCTGCGTCTCGTCTAATGGCCTTTTAATCAAAGACACGGCCGACGCGTGAAAAAGCGCGATCACGCGCTACGAAATGTACGCAAACGAAACGTGCAAATGCAAATACACAAGCGCGAATAACCTCCAAGGTGCAGCGCGATGCATCACTTTAAACGTCGCTTTACTTCTGGGCGTTAAGGCTAAGAAGAAAGAAGAGAGAGAGAGAGAGAGAGAGAGAGGGAGAGAGAGGGGGAGGAGGAGAATGATTTCACAGCGAGCGAGGGGCGTTTCAGGAAGGTGGATTAGTGGCAACGCCTTAACTTTCAGCAACCATCTCGACTTGAGACGCGAGACGGGTTGCCCACGGCTTCGGATCGAGCTGCCTTAATGGCTGAGTAGATTGGTTTTTCCTTTTACAGAGATCACGCTATAACGGGGGTGAACTGGATGGCACGTTGGATTTCGTAATGTAGCGCGCTGCGGAACACTATGAATCACCTGTAATGTGTGCCGCGCAAAGTGC